AATAACACTCTCCGACGGACGGACGGACGGACGAGACAGACAGACAGACAGACAGACAGACAGACAGACAGACAGACAGACAGACAGACAGGCAGACAGGCAGACACAGAGGGGTGGCCCGAGACGCGTACATGGAAAACGCTTCAGCCCCCGGCTCGATTCGTTATTAATTCGAGGGACTGGAAGCACACTGGCAGCGAAAGCAGACTCGCGACGAACAAAACGGACGCGGGGGTGTGAGCCACTGCGCCACTGCGACGCGGAAACTCCGGCCAACTCGCAAATAAACAATAAACAACCCGGAGAGTCGTACTCGAGGGTAAGAAAGCGTCGGGAAAGATTTTATTCGGAGTTTCGGTCAGGCAGCGTCGAATGTGCACCCTCAGTGTACTCCGCTTGCACCCAGAGAGAGAGAGAGGGGGGGGGGGGGTGCAGCAGTGATTTCAGGGGGAGATTACGGAAATTATTCACGGGCAAGCTATGAACAGGTTCGCCATTACGAGTAGTAGTACAGGTGCGCGTGAGAGAGAGCACCCATCCGTGTCGGTGTGTGTGTGTGTGTGCACGCTGTTGCACTGCGTCGCCGGGAAATGCGTCTTCGCCCGGTACTGTACACGATTCGGCCGAAAAATTATGGCCAGCCAACAGGTCCCCCCCCCCCGCCCCCGCGAACTAATGACTCTGCGAAAACGCCAACAACTCTCCACTCTTCTGGCAGTGTAGCGGGGAGGGGAGGGATCTCCGAAATATACTGGTGTCTTTTCGCGTGGCTGTGTTGACAGTGGCGTAGCACCCAGCGCGCGACGGTCGCAGCGCCGCCTACGCCCCTGCGGTCGAGATATCGAGATATCACGTTGCCATGCCATCTCGTTCTCCAGACAGCCGGCACGCTGACGGACCGCGCAACAACAACAACAACAACAACAACAACAACAACACGACTGCGTACGCCGCGCGCTTACTCAGACCAAACGACGGGGAAGGTGGTGAAGAGGAGGTTGTGAATGGGACCTTGTTGAAATCCATCCCTCTCGTCTCTCCCTCTCTCTCTCTCGCTCCCTCTCCCTCCCCCTCCCGTTCACGGGCCGCGGAGCCAGGACAAAGAAGCGTCGTCGAGAGGCCGGCGTGGAGGCTGCTACTGCAAAGGCCCTGCAAAGGCACTGCAAAGGCACTGCAAAGGCACTGCAAAGGCACTGCAAAGGCCCTGCAAAGGCACTGCAAAGGCACTGCAAAGGCACTGCAAAGGCCCTGCAAAGGCACTGCAAAGGCACTGCAAAGGCACTGCAAAGGCACTGCAAAGGCCCTGCAAAGGCACTGCAAAGGCACTGCAAAGGCACTGCAAAGGCACTGCAAAGGCACTGCAAAGGCACTGCAAAGGCACTGCAAAGGCCCTGCAAAGGCACTGCAAAGGCACTGCAAAGGCACTGCAAGGCCCTGCAAAGGCACTGCAAAGGCACTGCAAAGGCACTGCAAAGGCACTGCAAGGGCCCTGCAAAGGCACTGCAAAGGCACTGCAAAGGCACTGCAAAGGCACTGCAAAGGCCCTGCAAAGGCACTGCAAAGGCACTGCACTGCACGGCGCGCCTTGTGGACAGTAGTCTGGTTCCGAGCAGCGCCTCGACACCGCTGCACAGTGGGCCAGAAGACCGGTGCAGGCGGCCGAAACTCTAGACGCGTTTTGAGCTCCAGAGTCGCTAAATGGGACTCGAACCGGACGAGTGACCCCACCAATGGGTTGCTCTCCGAACGAGGAATCCATAGGTGGGGTCACACGCTCGGTTCGAGTCCCATTTAGCGGACTCTGGAGCTCAAAACGCGTCTCGAGTTTCGGCCGCCTCCACCGGTCTTCTGGCCCACTGTGCGCTGTCTCTGTCGCTCTCGCGCCGCAGGTGGCGGCCGGGAGGTCTCCAAGGGCTGCCCCGTGCAGGGAAGACCGCCCGATCTCATCTGCATACAGCTTAGAGTCGACGGCGGGCACACTGGCAGACTGGCTCGAGGATATGGGATCTGTAGGGTTTCCACCGCCCCGCGCAGCGCGCTCCACCCCAGCCCTCCTGCAAGTGGCAACCCTACTGCACTGTGAAATCGCCTTGCTGCACACTGCCGATGCACTCTGCCGACGCACCCGCATACGCGTCACTTCCAGTGTGACGGTGTTCCTTCCTTCTCGCTCCTCGTTGGGCACGCGCGCGGCGCCCAGGCACCCCCACTACTAATTGGTTTCGACGGCACGCACGTACACTGCAAACAACGCCCGGCGATTACCGGCTGATTACTCGCGCCAACACGCAGCAGTCTCTGTCTCTCTCGCACTCGTGGGGCGCGCCGTCCAGGTGCGAGAGAGACAGACTCTCCGTCTGGCGGCCGCGTTTCAAAGTTGCCAGTCGCGATGCATTTATTGATCCAGGGGCAGTGAGCCTCGCGGCGCCTCGCGGTGCCCGGTTAGGGTGGTCCAAAAAAAAGTGAAGTTGCTCGGATCGTCCAACGCCGCCTGGATTTGGATTCTACATCGAAAAATATGAAATACGTGTTTTTTCCTTTTTCGAAAAAATGATTTTTAGGACCTCCGCAGAGCCCTCAAAGTTTTTAACAGTGCTATTAATAGGAAAAAATCGTAACTTGTTCATTTTTTGACCGATTTTCAAAAACGAAACGGGGATTTGTTCGTTTTTGAATGCTTATTCCGAAAAAAAAATATGCCCAACCCTCTTTTTGGTTTGTCTACCTTTCAGGGGCAAAAAATGACTAAATTTCGGCCCAAATTGGCAATTGTTTCGGATTGTAGGCCGCTTCAGCCACTCCAAGTCCACCCTGTCAGCATGGCGGGGTGCCCCCACCACAAGGCAAGCCCCATGAACAGAATTGGGATGCCGGGTGCAATTTGCCTACCTCCCAGGGGCATCAAATTGTGGATTTTTTCGAAAATCTATCAATAGTGATGTCTCTTGGGGCCCCTGGAGACTCAGATGGACACCCTTTCACACGGTTCGGTACCCGCACTACGTAAAAAGAACAAACAATAAGAATGGACTGTTGAGCACCTCTTGCTTACCTCTCGGGACCAGAAAAACGTAAAAATTTAGAAAATTCCTTCATTTTGATGGCTTTCTTTGTGGCCTTGCGTGGTTTGCGGTCCCTCGCGTCAGCAACGTCCATAACGTTCATATCATTTAGTGTGGGTATCAAACCGTGTGAAGGTGTGTCCATCTGAGTGCCCAGAGGCCCCAAGAGACATCACCATTGATAGATTTTCGAAAAAATCCACAATTTGATGCCCCTGGGAGGTAGGCAAATTGCACTCGGCATCCCAATTCTGTTCATGGGGCTTGCCTTGTGGTGGGGGCACCCCGCCATGCTGACAGGGTGGACTTGGAGTGGCTGTAGCGGCCTACAAACTGAAACTATTGCCAATTTGGGCCGAAATTTAGTCATTTTTTGCCCCTGAAAGTTAGACAAACCAAAAAGAGGGTTGGGCATATTTTTTTTTCGGAATAAGCATTCAAAAACGAACAAATCCCCGTTTCGTTTTTGAAAATCGGTCAAAAAATGACCAAGTTACGAGTTTTTCCTATTTATAGCAGTGCCAAAAACTTTGAGGGCTCTGCGGAGGTCCTAAAAATAATTTTTTCGAAAAAGGAAAAAACACGTATTTCATATTTTTCGATGTAGAATCCAAATCCGGGCGGCGTTGGACGATCCGAGCAACTTCACTTTTTTTTGGACCACCCTATGCCCGGTGGGGTCCGCGCCGGTCCGCGGCACGGCGTCGGAAGCGCCAAGTTTTGCATCACCGGCCGCATCGCCTTCTGTCGAGAATGTTATCAATTCCCTCTACAAACCTGTTGGGAAATTCCCATTTTTAATTCGGTCCTTTGCCTCGACTCAATTCTAGTCAAACCCACCTTTCTTTCCTGAAAAGCACTGGTTCGAAACGGACGCCTCAATTTTCGATTCATTTTTCGATTATTGTCCTCGATTCCAAGCGGGATTTCTGGCGGGGTTGGCGTGCCACTCGCGCCATTCGCTTGACCGCACGACGGCGGACGCCGGGACGTCGCACGCACCGGAAGCGAAGCGAGAGACTTGTAAATATTGATTGGCACGGCATCGACCCAAGGAGGGCCTGGCGGGGCCCGATGCCCCTGGCTGCCACGCACCGCGCCGCGCACGCACACTGGATTTGCCGGAAGACCGGTGGAGGCGGCTAAAACTCCCGACGCGTTTGGAGCTCCAGAGTCGCTGAATGGGACTCGAACCGAACGTGTGACCCCACCAATGGATGGCTCTCCGAACGAGGAATCCATTGGTGGGGTCACACGTTCGGTTCGAGTCCTGTTCAGCGACTCTGGAGCTCAAAACGCGTCGGGAGTTTCGGCCGCCTCCGCCGGTCTCCTGGGCCACTGTGACTTCGCCAGCAGAGCGAGTCTCTCCGACAGTGTAGGGGATGAGACCGACACCGGGCGGATTACGAAGGGAATTAAAGGCCGCGCCTGGAAGGGCCTGCAGGGCCTGCAGGAAGCGAAGGGGTGCGCGTCATGACTCCAGACGCCCCCCCCCCCCCCTCCAGCAGCCAGACGGCCCGCCGCCAAACCGGTGAATACGCTTTGCCCCCCCCCCTTCCCCCTTCCGGCCACCTAGTGCACCAAAAACCCCGCGCGTGTCCGATCGGCGACGTCCCGCCTCTCGAGAGCGAGAGAGACGACGACGGGACGGGCCTACACTGTAGGCCTACACTGTGGGCCCTACGCCCCACGCAGTGGCAAAAACGGCAGGCTCCCCGCTGCCGGGAAAAACAATATTCAATCTAGGTTACCGTTACGTTGACGGGCGCCAGCGCGGCGTAGCCAGGCCTAGCCAGCCTGCGAGTGCGAGTGAGACAAAGCCTTTGTTTACCGACTGCAACTGGTTGAGGCGCCGCGACTAGCGGCGACGCGCCACTGTCGAATATCCCCCCCCTCCCCCCCTTTCCCTCCGGACGTCCGTCCCTACACTGGACGCACCTGCCCATCTTCGCCGCTGGCAAGTTCGCCGGTCCACTTGGCCAGCAGCTCCTGCCGCGCCAGCTCGGCCGCAGAGGATGCCGCGGTGCCGCGAAGCCGCGAAGCCGCGAAGCCGCGAAGCCGCGAAGCCGCGAAGCCGCGAAGCCGCGAAGCCGCGAAGCCGCGAAGCCGCGAAGCCGCGAAGCCCGGGTCTCCGCCGCCGCTTCACTCCGCTTCCCGCCGCTTCAGCAGCTTCACTCTACACTGTGGCGGGCCGCGGCGCGGTGCGGCTCGCTCCGGACGCGACGGCGGCGACGGCGGCACGGCACTCAGGTACTCGACGCGGTCCTCCAGGACGCGTGGCGCGACGCGGCGGACAACGCGGTGCGACACAACCTCGCGGCGCGACGCTCCACGGCGCAATGTTTATTATTGTGTTGGTGTGCTTGCTTGCAGCGCGTGGAGCGGAGCGTGGAGCGCGACGCGGCGCTGCGGACGGCAGGGGTAGCGGCGGCGGCCGGGCCGTGCCGAGCAGCGCCGGCTGGCGTAGCCACCCTCCCCCGTCCCGTCCCGTCCCGGCGCGTCCCTCCGTCGCGGACGCGCGGCCGCACGGACACACCCACGCGGCGGGCTGGCGGCGACGGAGACGGTGGCGCCCTCGCGCGGCAGCGCCGGCAAGCTGGCGGAAAGCGGAAACACGCGCGGAGTTCCTGCACCGGCCACCGGCGGACGCGGCCAAACACGCTCCAGAGTCGCTAAGCAGGACTCGAACCGAACGTGTGACCCCACCAATGGATTCCTCGTTCGGAGGGCAATCCATTGTTGGGGTCACACGCTCGGTTCGAGTCCCATTTAGCGACTCTGGAGCTCAAAGCGCGTCCGGGATTTTGGCCGCCTCCACCGGTCTTCTGGCCCGCAGCGCGCTGGGCGAGACGCCCAGACGACTTCCAGTACTACTAGTGGAAGTGCGAGACCGCTGAAGCTCGGAAGCTAGCCCCATTCTAGACAGCTATAGAGACTCCCATGCGTGCGGCGCCGAGCGCGACGCGCCCAAAAATAGAAGCGACACAAACCGCAGCTCGCACTCGCGCACGCCCGGGGCTGTTGGGCACCGGGAAAGCCTGGCAAGCTGGCTGGGCAGTTTGAATCCTAGGTCGGTTCAGGCACTGCTCTCCGTTGAACCCGAATAGGGCATTCGATTCGAGTCCCATTTAGCGACTCTAGAGCTCAAAATTGTGGCTGCCTCCACCGGTCTTCGGTCTTCTGGCAAATCCACTGTCCGGCGGAACGATCATGCTTCCCATGGCTGCTTCGCAGGGGTTTGAGTGTGTAAGACAGAGGGATTGGCTGCTGAGCCAGGTGGACTTCCCTGTGGCTCGGTGCGTCTCTCTATATACGTGATCCGGTGTCTCTCTCCGCCACGAGTCTCCGCTCCTTGCCAGGGGTGAGGGGTATCGCCGTCCGGACAGACTCCGTCGCTTGAGGGATCCGAAGTCGGAAGTCTCTGGGGCGTGGCGTAGTCCCGCGCGGCGCGGCGTGGGGTGGCACGCCGCAGCGCACGGCGGCACGGCGGGCGGCAGAGACTCCGGCCGGCGGCGGCCAGCACGCCGCGCCCGGAGGACCTCCGCGTCGGATGGGCTGCCTAGCGCCACGGCGCTCCACCGCACAGTGGGCCAGAAGACCGGAGGCGGCCAAAACTCCGGACGCGTTTTGAGCTCCAGAGTCGCTAAATGGGACTCGAACCGAACGTGTGACCCCACCATTGGATTGCTCTCCGAACGATGAATCCATTGGTGGGGTCACACGTTCGGTTCGAGTCCTGTTTAGCGACTCTGGAGTTCAAAACGCGTCTAGAGTTTTGGCCGCCTCCACCGGTCTTATGGCCCACTGCCACTGGCGCCCTCCAGGACACCACCCCTCCCGATAGGCATTCGGCCACGCGCGCTCCCCGCTGCCATCGCGGTGCCATTGCCCCCGGCGCGCACCACGCGTCACCATGGTGTCACCAGGGTGTCAATTGGCGTTGTCGAACGGCCTGGCGTCAGTCTGACGCAATGCAGACTCATTCCGAGAGTCGCCCCCGTCGCTCTGTCTCTCTCGCACCTACGCGGAGCGCCCCGCGAGTGCGAGAGACACAGCGACGAAGACGACTCTCGGAATGAGTCTGACGGTGACGGCAGCAGAGCAGGCAGCAGTGTGTTGCTAGCCCAGCCCGGCGGAGCGCCAAGCGCGCCAAGCAGCCGTCTGTCTCTCTCGCACCCCTACGGACCGCCCCATGAGTGCGAGAGAGACAGAGCGACGAGGCAGTGTGCAGAATCGGCCAGGTCCCTGCCGTCTCCGTGTGGTGTAGGCACACTGTAGGCCGCGTAGACTGAAGCCGCTCGGTCGGTGGCGCGCTCTGTGGCCGCGGACCGAACTAGCCCCCCGGCGACGAGGCTGACGCCGGGGCTGCGGGGCTGCGGCCGGGGCCCGGGGGGCGGCCGCCGAGGCTCGCCGAGCAGAGCCGCCGTCCTGCTCGCACGAACGGCGCGACGCCGGGCAGGACAAGCACGCCGTCTCGGAGTTTCGGCGCGTTTCGGACGCCTCGCCGCTTATCTGTCCCACCTAGCGGGCTAGCAGTGGGCTTGCGCCTCGGCTTGCGCGACAGGCCGACAGGCGCCACGGGTCCTCAAGGGCAGACAAGATGGCCGCGGGAAAAGGGGCCGCGAACGCCGGCACACTGTTGCAAAGCAGTGGATCCGCGGCCGAAACTCAAGACGCGTTTTGAGCTCCAGAGTCGTTAAATGGGCCTCGATCTGAGCGTGTGACCCCACCAATGGATTCCTCGTTCGGAGAGCAATCCATCGGTGGGGTCACTCGTGCGGTTCGAGGCCCATTTAGCGACTCTGGAGCTCAAAACGCGTCTAGAGTTCGCCGCGTTTCGGCAGACAGAGGCGAGTGACGCAATGAGATCCGAGGGAGTCTCCATTGAGAGCGAGCGCCCCAGTGCCACACAGTGCGTAGACTGTCCCACTGAATGGCCATGGCTGCCATGGCTGCCATGGCACTAGCGTCATGAATGGAGCAGCGCGTCACGCCGTCTCCGTCGCACCGCACGGCACTGCCCGTGAGTGCGAGAGGGGCCGCGGCGCGGCGTGACTTGGCACACGGGGCGAGGGGCGCATACCGGGGCCGCCTCCGAAGTATCTCTCCGAGTCTCTCTCGCACCCGCTCGACCGGGCGACAGAGACGGAGAGAGTGCGCGTCTCGAACGCACCCCGAGACGTCGGCCCTTTCAGGCGGACGGCCAATTTTTACGATGTCGCCGGCGTCATTTTGTTATTATCACACGGCGTGTCCGTCTCGTACCCGTGCGTCAACCTCCCCTAGTGGGCCAGAAGACCGGTGGAGGCGGCCAAAACTCCAGACGCGTTTTGAGCTCCAGAGTCGCTAAATGGGACTCGGACCGAACGTGTGACCCCACCAATGGATTGCTCTCCGAACGAGGAATCCATTGGTGGGGTCACACGTTCGGTTCGAGTCCCATTTAGCGACTCTGGAGCTTAAAACGCGTCGGGAGTTTTGGCCACCTCCGCCGGTCTTCTGGCCCACTGTGGGGCACGCGGAACACACGCAGGACACGCGGGCGGCAGCAGCCGGGCTGCAGATAGAGACAGACAGACAGTCGCACGGACGTGAGGGAATGCGAGAGTGAACGCGCGCAAGTGTGTGTGGGAGTGTGCGCGTTTGTGTTGGGGAATACAGAGATGTGCGACACGCACCTAAACACACACACACAGACACACACACAGACACACACACACACTCAGACTGGAGCAACTAGGTGGCGCTTGGTTCCAGAAAATGACCAGGGAGAGTCTAATTTGTTCATGGAAAGATACACGTCCATTGCTGTGCCCGATGACTTTGACAAAATCGAGACACAAAAGTCGTTGTTTCGGAACTATACCAAACCGGCGGGGACGTCAGTTTTGAAATCCGAAAATCGCCATAAAAGATAAACGCGTCTTGACGTGATGACGTTTTTACTTTCGCTTAGAATCCCGTGCAAGCGGCGCCGGGTCATCGTTCTGTCTCTCTCGCACTCGTGGGGCGGCCCGCGCACCCGCATACAGTGCGAGAGAGACGGATCGTGATACAACAATATTCGGCGCGGCAAAGGGCACCAGAGGCACCGGAATACAAAACGGTGAAGAATTTACAACGGAATGGCTACCGACAGAAATGGACCATAAAAGCAACAAGGCACCGCCAACCATGGGCCATGGCACCGTGGCGGCGGGCCTCTTACCGTCTCTCTCTCTCTCTCTCTCTCTCTCTCTCTCTCTCTCTCTCTCTCTCTCTCTCTCTCTCTCTCTCTCTCTCTCTCTCTCTCTCGCCCCCTGCTGCACCCACTTGTCCGCTGGATCGAGTTCAAATCCCCCGAAATTTTGAAAAGTCAGTTTCGAAATCATGGACTTGCTGCACGTCGCTCCAGCGCGACCCCTCATGAGCGAGGCAGCAAATAATCTGCAGCGGAGCAGAACGACAGAGAAACAGTCTGCATTCCTTGAGGTAAGGCGAGCCGACGCGCCGGGCCGCGCCGGGACCGTCGTGGGGGTACTTGGGGGCCAAGGGGGTAGATGGGGTCGTGCGGGTGCATAGTGGGGGTTGTCGTGGCAGTGGCAAAGGTGTCCTGTTGGGTTGGTCCACTGGGCGCGGGCCAGGAGACCGGTGGAGGCGTCCAAAACTCTAGACGCGTTTTGAGCTCCAGACTCACTGAACGGGACTCGAACCGGACGTGTGACCCCACCAATGGATTGCTCTCCGAACGAGGAATCCGTTGGTGGGGTCACACGTTCGGTTCGAGTCCCATTTAGCGACTCTGGAGCTCAAAACGCGTCAGGGGTGTTGGCCGCCTCCACCGGTCTTCTGGCAATTCCACTGCGGCGCGGCCACCCACGGGACCCTAGCGGGACCCGTCGAACTAATCCACTGGAAGGGAGGTGGATCCTGTTCCCTAATCCTTATCTGTGCCATCGCTTTCGGCGGCTTTGGCTGCTGCCGCCTGCACCTCCCCGTGCCGAGTGAGGCGTTCAGGGCGGCGCTAGCCTACAGCGCCGCGTCAGCTCGCGATGGCCGAGT